GACAAGCGCATCACGCACAAATAGGCGATTCACACTCGGGTGTCTGCAGAACTGCCCGGCTACAGAAATGAAACCGGGCTTCATATGCAATACAACCAGAAACCGTGCAGGAATTCGTCCCTTCATAAACCCGCCATGCAGAAACGGAGGCCTACTCCACCCCCGGCCTCGAGTAGCGGCTGGGTCCGCTCTCCGGCCGCCCTGGGACGGCCAAGCCCCGCCTGAACGCCGCCGACTGTGCGCCCTTACCCGATCCATTGGGGCCGATGATGGCTGTGAACTTGTGGAAGGGCCCGATGATCTGGCGTCCTTTGTAAGACTTGAAGTTTTCGATCTCTATCAGTTTTAAATACCCCATTTTTAAAAACGTTTGTGCAAACGAATTTCAACGTCCGTATTCCTGGTTCAAATGTTTATCTGTAAAATGTACTCTCACATACAGCGTTAACCGCCCCCTCTCTCCTGCGCAACCAATAGCTTTATTTCTTAGGAGATACGATATCTCCTTCTTTAGATTTTATATATCTATCACTAAAATGATTTTTTTTCATTAAATTATATTTCAAAAACCTAAATGAAAACAATTACTGCCGGAGCGCGCGCGCAACCGGAGTAAAAACAAACAGCAGCGCCACCCCTGCTCTCGCGAGCTCACGCGGGCAAGCACGCATACGTCCAAACCACACGCAAGACGTGCGACGCCAAGGCCGGCCATCTTCCTTTTGGGCACCACCTTCAGTCGACTTAAATGGGAGTGAGGGCACATTACAGGGCGAGTGGTGGATTCTCGTTTCCATAGGAACCCCAAGCGGCTGACTAGAAACAAATCAATTGGAATTTGCTCTGGGCACACATTAGTGGAAGGAGCTACCTGGCGCAAACGCAGCCAAAACCCTGGTAAGATAAGTGTTTTTTTTCCTTTCTTCTAGCAGATAACAAATGCAAACCAACCATCTATAAACCTCTGTTAGACTTGGCTTGGATCACGGCGGTGTGTCACCTTGAAGCAGACTGCAGTGGGGTTGCTGTACAGCTGTTTATAACAAAGATAACTTGCGAAACAGAATCTCACCGCAATATTGGAAAACAAGGCTCCCTTGAGCAGATGAATTTGGACGAAAACCTATATTCGTCGCAGAGATACAGATGCAGACCACGCAGGTAGCAAGCGTGGGGCCGGGAGAGACACTATGCAGTAAACCTACTAAATTCTCGGATTCCAGAATAAAGATTCCGTTCTCAGCTCCTCTGCTTCTACACACTTGGATCAATTCTAATTTTCATTAAAGTAAAGCAGAGGGAAATCCACTATGTTGACTGTAGCTGCCTTAGAGAACTTCGACTACTTGTATCGGTTGCTCATGTAGTCTGGGCGGAATACAGAGGGTCCACTCCCTCAGCCCAGGACTGACTGACCCCAGGGCAGCACTGTCTTGGCTACTGTCTTGTCAGGAGGCCAAGAGCACGTTCTTAGGGAGTGACGGGTCTGTCTTCTCTGCTGAAGGCCAGACAGCAGGCAGCTCTGGACCGGGCGTTAAAGTGCCCAGGTCCGCTCCACAGATATTCCATTGCTGCAGTGAGACTGAAGTGTCACAGGACAGTGGCCGTCCCCTGCAGCGTACAGACAGCCCTGTCCCACGCCCAGGGAGAGCGTCCATGCCAACGTCACTGGATGCTAATGTGTGAAATCAGGGACCAGGGTGTTTCTCAAAAAGAGTAGGGGTGCTCACCCCAGTGTTGGGGCCAAATCTCCCCCTCAACATTACCTATCAAGGCCTCCTAATAAGCCCCTTTGAACTGGCTTCATCACTCTGCTCTCCTCCCCACTGAGAGCTGGTGTGTGGGGAGAGGACTGGAGCATCATCCAGGTGGGGCTGCACACTGGTCCCCATTACCTGTACAGCGCTTTGTGTGGAGTGTCAGAAAAAGCGCTATATAAGTGTAGGGAGTTATTATTACTGTTGTTTCAGGACTGAGACATGAGTATCACCAGAACTTTATGCAGAGCAGCACAAAACGTGAATGTAAACATGTCCAGAAAAGCACTATATATAATATATACTTAATGAGTAAATATATAATAACAGTCCTCACACTTTTATGTCGAATCCTTACGATGTATGTAAGTGTAAGGATAATTATTATTTATGCTGTTCTGATGTTATTATTTTGCTTCAGTGTGTGTGGCAGTGCAGTGTCGCGGGATGTATAAAGTAGACCTGCCTGTAGATGGCGCCCTCGCGGCGGCGGTGGAGCGCCGGCGGCTGGCGGAGGCGCAGCGGCGGAGCCGGGTGTTTAACCCGCGGGTCCGGACCCTGGGGGTGGACCTCCCGGGGCTGGAGAGGCAGGTGGAGGAGCGCCGGGTCCTGGAGGAGGCGGAGAGACGGAGGGACCGCGCCTTCGGTGAGAGACAGGGTCATAGGTCACACCCCCACCTGGCTGAGTGTCACTGTCACCCTCTACAGCAGTGTGT